AGTCAGTAGTCTCCTTGCACGCCAGTGCCTGTTTGAAAGCGAGTGTCGAAGCAGAATCATGCGTTTGGCTGATGACTTCAAATTTGAAGGCAAAAGCTTCGTGATGGGAACGCCTGTGGCTGTTTAGGTGCCCGGTGATGTTTCTCCGAGTCTGTAGCTCTTGCTGCTTTCCCCTGCTATTTGCCAGAGTGCCTTTGTGTAGGGTGAAGCATCCAGGTATGAGGAATGGCTCCGCTGTAGTTTCGAAGCGGCATGGACTGCTCAGAAACTGCCCAAGAGCCTTGAAGCTGTCCATCTCTACTGGATCACTTGTCAGGCAAGGTTGCAGTTTTGCTTGAAAGGACCGCTATGACTTGCGATCCTTTCGCGGTATCTGCACCGACAGGCTGGCAAGTAGCATGGGCAGAAAGGTGACGGTTGTTTTTTGCCTACAATGGGCTAGTCCAGCGATATATCAGCTACTCATCAACGAAAACATTCAGTTTGAACCAATCCGATCTGCTAGAACCTGCCCAGTAGAGCATGAATGCTTCGGAATTGTCTAACTTTATCCAATAATCTTCAGCATCACGATGCTTCGAATCTATGTCATGGAATGCCCAGCATAAGGCCACATTTCAAGGTGACGGCCTTTGCCTTAAATCTTTTCTCATTACCTTCCAGGCAGAAGGTGCACGCAATACTTTGCCAGAACGGCCATAGACAAGTTGGCCACACTCATTATATAACTGTCAGACTCTCCCAGTCGTTCTGTTGTATGGGTCGTTTTTTCCTGGCAAGTAGTTGAACTGACCTGCACGTTCAACACACGTGTTGGATTCCTGGAAAGTGTTCGCGAGTCAGAGGAGAAATCATGCACCCTTCCAAAGTAAATCATTCCAGTTGGGTAGACTGAGTGATTTGATATAGAGTTGTGCACAGCTAGAAGTCATTCCGGAAAGCTGAATCCTATGCGGATAGATCGATAAACTCCATTGTACACTTGTAGTGTGTTCATTCCTGTCGGCTCGAGGAGTTCGATTTCACCTTCCTGCCAAACCTAGTCTTTGCATTGCAATAGAGTTAACCTTACTGGTTCCAGCGCCATTTATTTCCCATTGTACAAATCCATCACAGAAAGACCCACTGCAGCCTGAACTTCACAGGAGGCTACTGTAATGATTTGCTTGTTGGACGCCCAAAACTGACGTTGGAGCTTGGCTCCTGTGATGGCTGCAAAGACTGTGGCCGCACCCACAGTGCCGCAGGGGCGCACAGACATGGTGTTTTGGTCCTCTCTCTCTCTCTCCATATTTTCTTGTCCAAAGCTAGGGGTTGGTGACCAGCAAAGTCAAACACTTTCGTGCATTGTCCTTCCCATCCTTGGATTTGCTTCTATTTGCGGACATGACAAGGCTTGAAATGACGAGCTGTGGAACCAAGGTTTGAAGTGCAGAAAGATGCCGTGGTTTGCCAGGAGGCGAAGGACAGCACCGCCTGTTCAGCACTGGTGTTTTGAACTGCAGTTCTTCCAGGCCTAGCTGGAAGGTTCCTATTGGACAGATATACATTCCATGCACACATTGCGTTCATTCGAGTTGGACTTATTTGTTTTGTTTTATGTATTGCATTATTAATTTTCCTTTTCCACATGTGCATCCAAGTGTGACTGCACAGAAGCATGGGACACGGCACATTGCTGTTTGTTTTAGGTTCAAGGAGTGCATAGCATTAAAGTTGGCCAGGGAACAGCTGGTCGCTCAGCCCGGGAAGACTTCTAGTGTTACAGTTGGCTTTATTCACAGAGGCTATATACATGAATTACAGGCATGGTTTGACGGTCTCTAGAGTTGGTCTCCCAGTGCGTGATTGGCGAACTTGAGCAGCGCACAGCACCTCTTCAAAGCCCAGTCCACCACCGCAATTGCGGCCTCCAGGTGATTCATCCTGCCAGTTTGATCAACGCTCAGGATACAACCTGAGTGGTGATTTTGGGAAGCTTTTGCTTTTTGGCTTTGTTGACGTTTATGCTGATGCTGATGATGCAGCCACCATTATCACACATTTTGGAGGAATTGGTTGACAAGTACATAGGTATCAGGTATCCATATACATAGAGATGGTGTTGCAGGGTTGTGACCTGATCAATGGTCAGTCGTTTTTGTTGATTGAATGCAGATGCAGGCTGGACCCATTGTCATTGGCTCCTTCAACATCATTGAGGCCTCGAAAGGCAAACAGAAGATTTGTGTGAAAAAGGAAGCTAAGGTGACACGATGTTCACACCACTTTTCGAGCGGTTGTTTGAATGGCAGCTCTCATGGTGTGTTCCAAGTGCTCAGGAGCAGGTTGAGATTGTCAACTCCTCAGAAGTACCTCTTGTGATCGGCGATCACAATATGCTGGAGGCTCATGCTCGAGACCATGTACCGCAATCTAGTCATCAGTTTCATTTTGAGGTAAGAACAGAGCTTCAAAAGTTCCTTGAGTTGAAAGTGCCTCCTCCAATTTTGACAATTTCTTGCAGATCACCAACCTCGTTGGCCCCTGGCAGGTGGGAGTCAAGGTTCTGGGAGAGGGAGGTCAGCGCATGGGAGATGGAAACCTGCTGGAGCCGGGAAGCTTGGATAAGAAGCTCTAAAGGCATTCAGTAGACAATTTCCGACTTAGTTGATAGGTAATTCCTGCTTCTTGCACTCGAACACTAGTCTCTAAAAATGTTCCGCAAGTCTCAGAAAGGGCGAACACTTTGCATGCCATTCTTTGGGGCAATATCAGTTCTGTTGCCTCCACTTCAACAGCAGTCCTAACTGGTCTGAACACACAGTTCAATCACCCCAACTTTTCAGGACCCGGAGAAATCATTTTTGTTTTTCTTCCTGTTCAGTTCAGGTGGCGAATTTGCATCATTTCATTCCTAAAGTTCTTAGGTCCAGGATAGCTACTGGTTACCATGCCATTTTGACTTCAAAGTTTCCTTCCTCAGGCCCTTACTGTATATACTTCACCCTGAGACGTCAACCGGGGCACAATTTCCCCCAAGCAGTGTGCCAACACTAGGGGGTCATACGGTAGTAGTTTAGGCCGGGTTCTGATCAGAGGGGTGCGCATTCCGCTAATTCGCTGCTATTTTCAGTGCATCAGTACATTTATTCACCGAGATCTTCGAAAAGCATTTCGAGTGCGCAGGCTCGCAGAAATTGGTGGGCTGGCGCGGGTGCTCTTCTCAACTGCGCTCTCGTTGTGGTGCCGTGCGCGTTTTCGGACTTGGTGGTGACTTTCTGGTGGCAGGCACCAGGGAAACCTCGTGTTTGTGGTACAAAGTCGACTTCGTGCCAGGTGCAGGGGATCGGAGTAGTTCGATGTGCAGACTTCGTGGCAGGCGCAGTTCATTCGTGACATGGTGTGCTCTTCGCTCTACGACCACTCCGTGCACCCGGACTTCTCCTTTGGCGGAAGTGCGACGAAGCGAGCAAGAGTACCTAGATCATCTGATGGCTCGAGAACCATGTTTGGGATCATTGTCTTGAGCTTGCTGATGCCTGGTTCAACACACAGATGCGATGTCATTTGTGCTACCCAAATATCAGACTGATGAAAGTAGAAGTGCTTTGGGTTGGTTCATTTGTTTCTGCTTGTCTTTGCATGCCTGATACCGCTCCTGCAGCTCTTAGATGCAGTGACAATTCTGTTTGATCGCCTTTTGAGGCAAATTCGTTTGCATCATGCTGTAGGGATCGCGTGGGCATTTCGATTTTGCGCCCCGTGGGTCTTTTGCGGAAAGCATGCTTTTCTATGCCAATACCCTTGCGCACCTTTAGGTCACTTCACTTGTTGACCATGAATCGTCCCATGTTAAGTTGGGTTGATCTCATGTGTGGTGATCGCCGAATACAGGAGAGACGCGTACGTGTCATTCTTCAGGCCAGGCCGGCGAGTGGGAAGCAGACGGTGAGCAATGCACAGGGCTAAACAGCGTTCACCATCACCACCATCACCGCCACCACTGCTGCCACCACCACTGCTGCCACCATCACCGCTGCCACCGGCACCATCACCATCACCACCACCACCAACAACTACTGCCATCTTCACCACCATCTACACACCACCATCTGCGCCACCATCTTCACCACCATCTTCACCACCACCTTCAACACCACCTTCATGCCATCACCACGACCACCACCACGATCACCACCATAATCATCATCATCATCATCATCACCATCGCCACCACCATCACCATATACGTCTAGATCTCGGCCTTAGCATCTACCCCTCGAATAGGACCTATGAGGGACGCTTGGGAAGGGCAGATGGGAAACAGATGCCTGTTGTCATCCCCGGAACCAACACTGCAGGGTCTTGGTTGTGGAAGTGCATGGTGGCATCTACAGTGTGGCTTCTTTGCTAGCTCAATGGTTGTTGGCCATTCTCTTAGCTGTACCCATGCTGGATCGGTGGTCGTTGACCGTGGAGTGTTTTTGTGCTGCTTCATTATCATGGGCAATTTCTCACGGCGTGGCACTCTTGATGCGCGCTCTTTAGGGCGTGATTCGTTTGCTGCCTCAGATGCTATGTTTGCTGGCTAGATGTCAGACCTGATGCATGCATGATCTGTTTGTTTGTGGGCCAATGTGAGCTTTGATTTGACCACTCGTGGTCAGTATGAGGGGGCATTTTGTGTGATGAGAATCACTTCGGTTCGACCTCGTCCCTGTAATACGCTTCAAGTACATGTGAAGCGTTGCGAATTGTGAGTTGTTTTGGTTGGACCATCTCAAGATGTTGTAGTCTTCGAAAATCGAGGCTCCGTTTTGGAGCGCTTCACAACTGCTGAGTTTTCATCTGTAGGGAGAGAAAGAGATTTGCCGTGTTCGCGTGGCACTTGTTTTTGTGGAGTTGTTTAGTTTTTGGTCTTGCTCGGATCGATTCGTTTGGCGTAGGACGCGGTAAGGCCACGCATCTTAGCTAAGGGCGTTTGGTTGTCGCGCTTCACAGTTTGTGGCAGTTTGCGACGATTGTCTGAGTCGTTCAGAGAGGCAAGGAGACTCTCGGTGCAACGTAGGATTGCTTCTCCCAGTCCACGAAGGACTTCTGGTGCTGTGAGTGTGAGGAGCCGTGGAAGTGCCTTGAGCCCGTATACTTTTCCGCTTTCGAGAACCACCCTGTGTTTAAGAACTTTTTGCCATCCATCCTTGGGTTTTTGGACTCCGTTTTGGACATTTCGTTCTGCCATTTGATTCTCTTTCCAACTTCGTTGCCACTATTGTTACCGTCGTGGACACAGACCTGTTGGACTGGGAAGGGCTAGGTGGTTGCTGGCTTCTTGTGGTCGACCTGGGTTTCGCACTCCACGTCCTTACTTCGCAAACGTTCATCCGACCGACCTCCAAATTGTGTCTTGTTGCGCGTGCAAACTGTCACGACCTTTACTATTTTTTACGCGCTCCCATAGTTCCTGGGGCCGTGGATGTGTCACGCGCTCGCCGGCGGACTTCTTTGCGTCGACGCGGCCGTGACTGTACGCTAGATAGAGATTCACTTTCAACGCAACGTGCAGGGAGATCTCTGGAAGGAGGTTGCCGGTTGCCCCCCGGGAAGACGAAGAAACGTTGGTTTTCGGAGCCCTTTGTCAAAACCAACTTCTTCTGAGTGACCTGACAACCCTAAATGCCTTTGAAGCTTGACCTGGACACACGAAAAACCAACGTGACCTCTTAAAAGTGAATGACACAAGCCATCCAAAACCCAGCGTTCTTACCACTTTCCCACTTGATGTCACGATGTCTTCCAATGAAACGTTTATTTCAGTGCGGGGCCCGGTAGTGCGGGGCCCGGTTGGCGTCGGTGCCTTGGTTTGGGACTTGGGTAGTGGTTCGCCGTATCTTCCAGCTGAGCTTTGCTCAGGTGCCGATCAGTGCTACCACCTGGTTGTTCCGTATCACCAGCCACGTTTTAAATTTTTGCGGGGCTCATTGTTGATTTGAGTTGGGTGTCCGAGCCTCCACGTTTCATATTTGTGAAACATGAGGAAAGGGCAGAGATTCTACAGAGCCAGCGCAATGATTTAAGTGGTTCAGCATCTTCTGGGCCACACAGTCGCTGACACGGGAACCATGACAGCGACGTTGGATTGGTTTCAAGTGTATGGATCCCTGCTCCAGAAGTGTCCATGATCAACCTCCTACTGGGTCCTACTGTAAACCAAGAGCGATCTTTACCTAACAAAACCATTGAGTCGCAGTTTTGGATCGCGGATCTTGATTGGTGCATGACGCTCGGCCGCTCGGAACTGAAACGTTTTTTTGTCACGCGGCAATACACGGGTTTTGCTCCAGATGGTTCGAGTGTGCTAGTGGACAGCCAGATTGGCCATGGCTGCACGCTTGGCGCATGTGCGGAATCCCAGCAACTTGAAAGTGGAGTCTTGTCAGGTACGATAGCGCCGACATGTTTCCCTCCCCAGGTGCAACGCATGTATTTTTTCCAGTTCCGGGGTGGCTAGGAAACTCTATAGATTCTCTACCTATTCACCCTATGAACCAGATCATGAACCAACTTTTCGAAACCCAGTTCCTGTCGTGCTCGTGTTATATGATTGTTGATAAAGTAGCAAACACCGATTCGCCATGAATCAGTTTTTCCACTTCCTTTGGAGCAATCAATCCATTCCCAGCCCCTTCGTCTCCAATCTCAAATACGAGTCATTGTGATTTGTGTGCTTGGGAGTAGGTGTGGGCGCTGAGAGGGTGCTAGATGTGGAACAACCGGAGCGCAGTAGTAGTAGTAGTAGTAGTAGTAGTAGTAGTAGTAGTAGTGGTAGGAGTAGTAGTAGTAGTAGTAGTAGTAGCAGGAGTAGTGGTAGTAGTAGTAGTAGTCGTAGTGGTAGTGGTAGTGGTAGTGGTAGTGGTTGTGGTAGTAGTAGTGGTAGTCGTAGTAGTAGTAGCAGTAGTAGTAGTAGTAGTGGTAGTGGTAGTGGTAGTAGTCGTAGTCGTAGTCGTAGTCGTAGTCGTAGTCGTAGTCGTAGTCGTAGTCGTAGTAGTAGTAGTAGTAGTAGTAGTAGTAGTAGTAGTAGTAGTAGTA